CCACTACTACCACTACTACCACTACTACCACTACTACCACTACTACCACTACCACTACCACTACCACTACTACTACTACTACTACTATTACTACTACTGGCAAATTTTCTGCATTGCACCAGCGTGTGTAGACCGATGCCTAACCGATGCCCTATCCGATGCCGCGGAGTGACTTCCAGACACCCGATCAAGGGACATGCCCACTTGATAGCAGATTTTAGGGTGCAAATGACATGCCCAAGAGAAAGGAACTAGCAGCTGCGTATGTGAGGTACTTGAACTTGTGAACAAGTTGTTTGCTCTGCTGTGCGTTGCTTCGCCAGGTCCATGACTATACTTTTGCTTGGAAACATACCGTATGTGAGTGAAATTCACCACACATTGGAAACCGATGAGGAAAACCCAAGCCCGATGCCCTGTCTTAATGACCGCTCCCAGATGTAGGGAATTTTGGACCGACCTCATTTGTTGACATGTTCACTTATCACACTATCCATGGCCAAAGCCGATTTCTCAGAACTAAGCAACGGTTTGGCTGCTCATGCTGCCATGGGTACCCGTCAATGCCCACGGTGTCGACGATTTCTGAGCAGGCGGAGATTCCCGGCATGGAGTTCGCGGGGATGCAGGCGGGTGCAAATCGGAGCGTTTTGCGTGGAGTGGAGACAGGGTGTAAGATCAACATGTGTTTGTGATGTTAAAATAAGTTAATCCTCTTTCAGGCTTTCCATTAGTAAATTTGTACTAGTACTAGCAACTTCCAATGAAGTAAATTCCAATCTTGCCAGTATTCCTAGCCCTGTGAGAGTTCATTTAATTTCTTCTTCGTTAGTCAGTCACCAGACCCATCTTTCATCACGCGGCTTCACTGAGGACCCACTCCCTTTGCCGCAGATGCCGCAGCGGACATTGCCCTCGGCGTTCGCGCAGTCGCGGAAGGTGTTGGAGGAGCGCGGAGTAAAGTTGACTTTGAATGGACTCATACCAGTGGGTTTATCCACGGAGGCCTGCGTTGCCTGCGTTTTTGTGCCGTAATCGACTAAATGTTGTTTGGGAAGAGGTGTGTTGTAGTTGATGCGTCAAGTTGAGAGCGTTGGTTTTACCTTTTTTTGAAGTTCACTTGTGAGAGTGCTGTTTGTTCGTTCGTTCGTAAGTTTATAGTGAGCGTGAGCAGGTAGACTCTGACCTTGGAAACTACAAGACTTTGTGGACAGCAGCATGTCCAGTTGTGTATATGGTTCTTCCCCAGCAAACATGGAAGCGTTCAGCTGTACAGACGGTAACCTGCAAGCAGGCATGTCACCGCCATAAAGACATCAACCAAGAAGGCAATCTGTGGTATCAGCAAAGGACGGTTTTCTGTACTGCTGCGCTGTAAAGACAAGCAGGCATGCTTCGTACAAGCAACTGCGAACGCACCGTGACCAACGGACTCAACGAAAAGGCCATGTGTGGTGGGGCCCTTTTCAATCGTTTTGTCAAGAGTTTCGGGGAAGAAAAAGAGCACCAGCCAAGGAGCGCTATCTTCGGGGTCTATATAGCCGGGTCTCCCCAAGCAGCTGTAACCAGTAACCAAAGAAATACAGTGAAATACTATGCTTGCTCTGCTGTAAAGACAATCTACCTCGGCAAGCGCAGCCTAGTACATACAAAAGCCGCCTAGACGGCATTCTGCAAGCCGGCGCATGACGTGCTTGCAGCGGAGAAGTTTTGCGTATAGCGAGATGCAAGAAGGGGCGCACGAAGGTTCTCCTTCGAGGGCTGGCTTTCTTCCCCTCCCTTCTCAGGTATCCTTATTTGATATCAAGATTTGTCAACATGTTCACTCATCACACTTTTATCCATTGCCATATCCGATATACTCAAAGCTACCCAACGGTTCGGCTGCTTACGCTGGCGTGGGTACCTGTCCGTGCCCACGGTGTCGACGTTTTCTTCGAACGTGAAGAGCAGGAGACTCCGCGCCCAGAGTTGGCAGGGATGCAGGCGGGTTTCTCGCAAATCGACCCGTTTTGTGCGGCCTGCGAAGGCAGGCGGTAAGACGACGCCAGCCCACCAGGGTGGCAAGATCTTTTGACTGAATCACAATGAAGTCTAGAAGTGCACATGGTTCCTGAACATGTTTGTGATGCTGTTAATCCTCTTTCAGGCTTTCCAATGGTAAAATTGTAGCAGCAACTTCCAATGAAGTAAATTCCAATCTTGCCAGTGTTCCTAGCCCCTGTGAGAGTTCATTTCTTCTTCGCTAGTCATCAGACCCATTTGTCATCACGCGGTTTCACTGAGGACCCACTCTTTTGGCGGCAAACGCCACAGCGGACATTGCCCTCGGCGTTCGCGCAGTCGCGCAAGGTGTTGGAGGAGCGCGGAGTAAAGTTGACTTTGAATGGACTCATACCAGTGCAGTGGGTTTATCCACTGGAGGCCTGCGTTTTTGTGCCGTAATCGACTAAATGTTGTTTGGGAAGAGGTGTGTTGTAGTTGATGCGTCAAGTTGAGAGCGTTGGTTTTTCATTGTTTCTCTTCATGTTCACTTGCGAGAGTCCAGAGTGTTATTTGTTCATTCGTAAGTTTATAGTGAGCTTGAGCCGGTAGACTCTGACTTTGGAAATTACAAGACTTTGTCGGCAGTGTTGTTACTGACCACATGTACCAACGCCAGAACAGGGTACATTTTTAAAGTCATTTGATCCGTAGTGGATATCATGTTTTGTCAACATGTTCACTAGTATCCATGGCCACATCCGATAGTCAAAAATACACAACGGTTCGGCTGCTTACGCTGGCGTGGGTACCTGTCCGTGCCCACGGTGACGATGTTTTCTTCGAACGTGAAGAGCAGGAGATTCCGCGCCCAGAGTTGGCAGGGATGCAGGCGTGGGACGGGAGAATTTTCTTTCAATTGTACTGGTACCGTGGCTTCGTGCGATTGGATTTGTATCGAGCTTCTCCTCCCTCCTCGTCATTTGGCTACTGCTGCTGCATGCTTTTGCTGCTTTGGTGTGACAGGATTCGTATTGAGCTTCTCAGCTGCTGCTGTTGCTGCTCCTGCTCTTCAAATCCCACGGATATCTCTCTTCTCTCTCTCTCTCTCTTTTTCTCTTCTCTCTTCTCTTCTCTCTGCTTTTCTCTTCTCTCTTCTCTTCTGTCTTCTTCTCTTGTCTCTTCTTCTCTTCTCTCTTCTTCTCTTCTCTCTTCTCTCTTCTTCTCTCTTCTCTCTTCTTCTCTTCCTTCTCTTCCTTCTCTTCTCTCTCTTCTCTCTCTTCTCTCTCTTCTCTTCTCTTCTCTTCTCTTCTCTTCTCCTCTCGTCTCGTCTCGTCTCGTCTCTTCTCTTCTCTTCTCATCTCCTCTCGTCTCGTCTCGTCTCGTCTCGTCTCGTCTCGTCTCTTCTCTTCTCTTCTCTTCTCTTCTCTTTTCTTCTCTTCTCTTCTCTTCTCTTCTCTTCTCTTCTCTTCTCTTCTC